TGGGAGGCTGGGAAGGATGGGGATCTATTGGCTGGGTATGGATGGGATGGATCTATGATCTATTACATAAATACTATCCCTTTCACCGCTGTCTTCACTTTGAAACGAAGTTATATTTTGCGAGGAAGATTACGTTGTAGATTATACAGAACTTGCAAGCATGAATCCCCGTGTCGGTTGGGAGTCGTAACCAGACTACATAGTTGGGAGCCGGTCGGCCGAGCGGACAGCACGCTGGTCTTGTGATCCTGTGGTCGCGGGTTCGATCCCGGGGCGCCGGCGAGAAACAATGGGCAGAGTTTCTTTCACCCTATGCCCCTGTTACCTTCCAGTAAAATAGGTACCCGGGTGTTAGTCAGCTGTCACGGGCTGCTTCCTGGGGGTGGAGGCCTGGTCGAGGACCGGGCCGCGGGGGACACTAAAACCCCGAAATCATCTCAAGATAACCTCAAGATAGTTACATACCTTGTAATGTAAGACAAGGACAAGATAACAACTGCCTCCGATAACAGTGATATTAAATAAACTAATGTCATCACAGCCTTTATGAAAGATGCTGTTGAAGACAGGTTAAGTTTTGGTTAAACTTGGGAAAAAGTAAACCTTTGTAAACCTTCAGGGGTTTTCTAATCTTCCATCGGAACGACCCGGTGGGCAGTTAGGTGTGGGTTGTTAAGCCTCTATTCTGGTCAGAGGATACGAGACAGACTATAAGTGTTTCGTCCCCTAGGGACTGGCCCTGTGGTCCAGCTGGGCTACAGAGTCTTATCCCATCTGATTTGATCTTTCCTGCAGGGGGAGTCGAGTCGAAATTGCAAACCAAACTCAAATATTAACCGCATATTTTTGTGATTATTCGTTGCTAAAGATCTCGTTATTGATGTGCCTGATAAATTATTTATTAATTAAATCATTGTTTACTTGCAGCTTAAATAACACCTCGTACACACTTTGGAACAATTGATTAGCACCTGATCTTGAAACAATTAACACATGACCTTGAAATAATTAATTAGCAGGTAACCTTGAAACAATTTATTATTATTATTATTATTATTATTATTTTCTACCACAGACGTGGTCACACATTTACAATGCTAACCAGCATGTATACATTTTCTTCTGTCCTCCATGGACAGGGTTAGAGATGTGTTAAACATATAGTTCAAGGGTTGAACTTGAAACAATTAGCACCTGATCTTGAAACAATTAGCACCTGATCTTGAAACAATTAGTACCTGATCTTGAAACAATTAGCACCTGACCTTGAAACAATTAGTATCTGATCTTGAAACAATTAGAACCTGATCTTGAAACAATTAGCACCTGATCTTGAAACAATTAGTACCTGATCTTGAAACAATTAGCACCTGACCTTGAAACAATTAGCACCTGACCTTGAAACAATTAGCACCTGGCATTGAATAATTAATTAGCAAAACTCAATATGTCAACTTGCATATTGCTTGAGAATGACCAAAAATTTAGTGTACATCGTACAGGAGGCCCGACACAAAGAAGATAATTACAATGGCGTGTTCGTGTGTATGTGTGTAATACTCTGCACTAATCAACAATGAATCGTTCACAGCTGAAATGGTTGGACCTACAAATACTGTAGCCAGCACGTCTTGCTATGCACAGCTCCCGTGAAAAAGGTTTATTTTCTCTTATGAATTCAAGTATCGTAAATTTAGAATTCGCTTCGTCAGCACCTTGGTGCCTCACTCCTAGTTTGTGATGACACATGCACACATGCAGCTCAGGGGGGCTTCAATGGCCTTTTCAAACTTTTTCAAACTTTTCAAACTATAGTGATATTTACTATTCTATCCCCCCGTCCCATCCCAAATCCTTATCCTGACCCCTTCCAAGTGCTATATAGTCGTAATGGCTTGGCGCTTTCCCCTGATAATTCCTTTCAATTACTATTTGGGCTTGGAGATTCGACCTATTAGCTCTTGGACCCCGCCTTTTTAACCAATCTCTTTTTCCCCGTATGTCTCATACAGCTCCCAGCGCTCGGCCCTCTCACTCGTAAATTACACAACCAAACTCACACATCTGAAAATATAGAAAGTTCCACAGAGATTTGGTCCGTCCTGGACCATTACACTGTGATAATGGAGTTGCTAGTGGGACACGAGTAACTAGAATCTAATAACATTCCAGATAATATATATTATTTATTATATTATTAATATATATTATATAATATCTATATAATTTGATATACTGAGAGTTACTGAGCGGGAGAGACATAATAATTTACACGTGGGAAATAATTGAGGGGCTGGTCCCAAACCTGCACACAGAAATAACATCACATTAGACCAGGAGGCATGGCAGGATGTTACTACAAGAATGTAACAACTCTTGTATATATCTCAAAAAAAAAAAAAAAATGTGCAGAATACCCCCGTTGAAAAGCAGAGGTGCAACAGGTACTCTGAGAGAGAACTCTATCAACATCAGAGGCCCGAGACTGTTCAACACGCTTCCACTACACATAAGGGACATAATTGGCCGACCCCTCACAGTGTTCAAGAGAGAACTGGATAAGCACCTCCAAAGGATACCTGATCAACCAGGCTTTGACTCATACGTCAGGGTGAGAGCAGCCGTGTCCAACAGCCTGGTTGACCAGTCCAGCAACGAGGATGCCTGGTCGACGACCGGGCCGCGGGGACGCTAAACCCCGAAAACACCTCAAGGTAACCTCAAGGCAAGGTAGATAAAGACAGTTTATTTAGCACAAGGGGCACACGCACTAGGGGACACAGGTGGAAGTTGAGTTCCCAGATGAGCCATATAGACATTAGAAAGAATTTTTTTGGTGTCAGAATAGTTGACAAATGGAATGCTTTAGGAAGTGATGTGGTGGAGGCTGACTCCATACACGGTTTCAAATGTAGATATGATAGAGCCCAATAAATAACTATTGCTAACTTTTTCCATTCAACATTTTTAATGTAAATATGATAAAAGCGTGAGAAATGAGTCATTGCAATAAATTAGGAATGTTCGGAAGACGTGGCTAGAAGCCTAGCTCCCAGCCCCGAACACACACACACGAACACATACTGATTGACGCCTTCCGGACACCACACAAACACACACATTCATTGACACACAGTTGTTAGTTAGTAAAGTTAGAGCAGTTAGTAAATGGAATGCACTAGGAAGTGATGTGGTGGAGGCTGACTCCATACACAGTATCAAATGTATATATGATAGAGTCCAGTAGGCTCAGGAACCTGTACACCAGTTGATTGACGGTTGAGAGGCGGGACCAAAGAGCCGAAGCTCAAGCCCCGCAAGCACAACTAAGTGGAGTACACACACAAAATACATATTATAGTGTCATTTTTCACAAATACAAATCCGGCTTATTACGTCACTAGTAAGTCACTCTCTGACTTACTAATAGCTTAGTACTTTCTTCTGATAATAAATGCACCTTAATTGGTCCTTACAGCTTTGTCCTCTTAATTCAAACACTTGCAAACTTCTCGCATTTCGAGTACTGTTTTGTGTTCCACAATGTGCGGGTTCCACGCCGATGCCGCGTATTCGAGTACTGGTTTAAAGCCGCAAGAAATGCCCTGAAAGAATGATGATTGTTATATGGCCTCGCCAGAGTGCTATCCTCACCTCGCCACATAAAAAAATATGATTAGTGACAACAGCTGTAAATTAGAAGGAGCTGAAATGTAGCTGTCGAAGCAGTGTCCAATTTTGGTAAAATATCTATACATGGTTTAATTTTCTTGGATTTAGTAGCAGCAGTGAAAGGAATGCGGGTAATGTTTAGTGTGTATGTGTATACTCACCTAGTTGTGCTTGCGGGGGTTGAGTTTTGGCTCTTTGGACCCGCCTCTCAATTGTCAATCAACTGGTGTACAGATTCTGGAGCCTACTGGGCTCTATCAAATCTACTTTTGAAACTGTGTATAGAGTCTGTCTGTCTCTGTCTGTCACTAGACAGTCCACAGTCATGACAACGCGGGATTGACATTTAATCCTACCACTTTATTTTCCTTTGCATATGCATCTTGGTTTTCAATTATGTTGATGTGATCAGCCTCCAGGACTGTCAACGCCCCTTGGGCTCGGGTCAACGCCTCTTGGGCTCGGGTCAACACCTCTGGGACTGTATCAACGCCTCTGGGACTGTATCAACGCCTCTGGGACTGTATCAACGCCTCTGGGACTGTATCAACACCTCTGGGACTGTATCAACGCCTCTGGGACTGTATCAACGCCTCTTGGGACAATATCAACACCTTCCCATACCTTAACCTACCATTCTTCCTCTACGCTCTCCCAAAACAAAATAATTTACTAACCTGAAGAACGACCGACAAGTCACTAATTTGTGCAAATTTGTCGTGGCGGTCACGAACTGCCCAATTACCCCGTGTTTGTGTGTTTCGTTATATGTCAGTTTAACTCGTCGATTCGTGTGATCAAGTCAGGCGCCTGTGTGGGTGTGAGTGACCCGCTCCAATTTCCCTAATTTGGAGTAGATTTGTGAGGTAATGATGGGGCAAGAAGGGTCGTCATTTTTAACCCCCCTAATTATCTACCAAATGCTGTCTACTCATAAACTAATTAAAAGTTTTTTGTTGTATTTTCTTCGTGGAGTTTATCAGCGGGTCGTGTCTAATGTGTGTGGGTGCTCGCGTGCCTATATGTGCTTGTGCACTTATGTGTGTGTGTGTGTGCTTGCGTGTGTGTTCTCGCGCGCTTATGTGTGCTTGCGCGCGTGTGTGCTGGCGTTTGCGCGCGCGTGTTATCAGCAGGTGTGCCCTCATTATCTTTTATCTACTGTTGTAGGTATGCCTTTATTTGTGTTTTTTGTGCTTACAGGTGTTCCCAGACTAACAGTTTCCCCCCCCCCCCTCTTTGTGTCCACAGGTGTGCCCACACCTGCTGTTCCCCCCTCTCTGTGCCCACAGGTGTTCCCACACTAACTGTCCCCCTCTCTGTGCCCACAGGTGTGCCCGTGGTGACCCGTGCTGGAGGCAACGTGACCCTGGATTGTCCTGCGGTTAAGGACGCCTATGTACTACTGCTTGAGTGGCGCTGCCGGGGATGTCAGGTAGGTGGCGTGGGAGTCGGGGCTGCCATGGGTGTTGGTGTGGGAGTCAGGGCGGCCATGGGTGCTGGGGTGGGAGTCAGGGTGTGGATATGACTGGTGCGTGTTTGGACGCAGTTGTTTTGGCTCTGTTGCGTTAATTAGTTTGTGTAGGTATGGAGTGTTGTGTGGATGCGTGTGGGGTGAAGATGGCGCGTGTGTGTGCTGTGTGTGGATGATTGGGCGGACGTGAACGCCGCGCAGGTGTTGTGTGGTGTGGGTGTTGTGTGGTGTGGGTGTTGTGTGGTGTGGGTGTTGTGTGGTGTGGGTGTTGTGTGGTGTGGGTGTTGTGTGGTGTGTGTGCTGTGTGGTGTGTGTGCTGTGTGGTGTGTGTGCTGTGTGGTGTGGGTGTTGTGTGTTGTGGGTGTTGTGTGTTGTGCGTGTTGTGTGTTGTGGGTGTTGTGTTTTGTGGGTGTTGTGTGTTGTGGGTGTTGTGTGTTGTGGGTGTTGTGTGGTGTGGGTGCTGTGTGGTGTGGGTGCTGTGTGCTGTGTGGTGTGGGTGCTGTGTGGTGTGGGTGCTGTGTGGTGTGGGTGCTGTGTGGTGTGTGTGCTGTGTGGTGTGTGTGCTGTGTGGTGTGTGTGCTGTGTGGTGTGTGTGCTGTGTGGTGTGGGTGTTGTGTGGTGTGGGTCAGGGCGCTGGTTGAGGACAAGTGTGGGTGTAGTACTACCGAGGTTGCAGATCAATAAGGGACGTTGTGCATAATTGAGCGAGGGGCGAACATGAATTAACAAAGTAATTCGTACATAAATATAAAATATTTAACACATGTGGTACATATATATATATATATATATATATATATATATATATATATATATATATATATATATATATATATATATATATATATATATATAAGGGGTCAAATTGCCCTCTCTCGGTCAAGATGTAAATCGACCCTCGGGGATGTTGTAAATTACACACTCACATAGTCTTCAAGAGTGTAAGTCACACAAGTGTAAATGTATACCCCCAAAACCAAGCCACACGCGACGAGTCAACCCAAATATTTTCTCACCTGTAAATGCATTGTAAATGTCTTGCAACATTGACTATTGCAATAGAATTTGTGTATTTAGATACAAAGCCTCCACTCGGCGCCGGGTGTAGAAGGTGATTTAAATGACACGTAACAAACTTGTTGCCAGTGTTCGAGCAGTTTGTAGGACCTTACCAGTAAACGGACCCATGCATGATATGGAACACCCATGGTACTGCGGGCTCACCATAGCCCGTGCTACTTGGAGCTTTGTTCCAGGTAGCGAATCTTTAACAACAACAACAACAACCCATGGTAGGGAGAAAGATATGGGACACCCATCATAGGGACACTAATATGGGACACCCATCATAGGGACACTAATATGGGACACCCATCATAGGGACACTAATATGGGACACCCATCATAGGGACACTAATATGGGACACCCATCATAGGGACACTAATATGGTACACCCATCATAGGGACACTAACAAGGGAGTGGGGGTGAAATGGGTGATTGACTGGAGAACCTGTACGAAACGCCAGTCATTAGACAGGGTTCGTGTCGTTCCTCGGGTCTCGTTACGTGTTCGAGCAGCTTCGGAACGAGAACCTTTCATGATCTCCAGAGGGGCACAGCTGTTCTCATTATATTCCCTATAGACAGCTGTAATCAGCTGCTAACACTATTCAGGTTACTTTAAGGATTTCTGGTGTGTGTGTGTGGGTATGTGTTTGTACTCACCTAGTTGTGCTTGCGGGGGTTGAGCTCTGGCTCTTTGGGCCTGCCTCTCAGCTGTCAATCAATCAACAGATTTTTTTTCTCCACACACACACACACACACACACACACACACACACACACACACACACACACACACACACACACACACACACACACACACACACACACACTCACCCACTCACCAGAAAGCAGCCCGTAGCAGCTGTCTAACTCCCAGGTACCTATTTACTGCGTTGTGAACAAGGGCATCAGGGTGAAAGACACTCTCCCCATTTGTTTTCGCTTTCGCCGGGGATCGAACCCGGACACTTAGGACTACGAATGCCGAGCGCTGTCCACTCAGTCGTCAGGCCACACTGTGTGTGTGTGTGTGTGTGTGTGTGTGTGTGTGTGTGTGTGTGTGTGTGTGTGTGTGTGTGTGTGTGTTTGTGTGTGTGTGTGTGTGTGTGTGCGTGCAATTTTAAAGTTATGATGGCATAATTATCCGGTAAAGCGAGTTGATTAGGGCGTTGCGATAGTATTTACTATTTGTATTAACTATTTGTGCCTTCAGGATCCTACTGTTAGCTCTTGGACCCCGCCTTTCAATAGATCGATTGTCTAATGTACTGACTCCCGAATTAGTTTCTATCATATCTACTGCATATATACACTACATATATTTATCTTAACATGTTCCCCACACACACACATACATACACATACACATTGACAGGGTAGATGATGATAAACTGTTTAACATGGGTGGTACGCGAGCAAGGGGACACAGGTGGAAACTGAATACCCAAATGAGCCACAGGGACGTTAGAAAGAACTTTTTCAGTTTCAGAGTAGTTAATAAGTGGAATGCATTAGGCAGTGATGTAGTGGAGGCTGACTCCATACACAGTTTCAAATGTAGATATAATAGAGCCCAGTAGGCTCTGGAATCTGTACACCAGTTGATTGACATTTGAGAGGCGGGACCAAAGAGCCAGAGCTCAACCCCCGCAAGCACAACTAGGTGAGAACACACACACACACCCACATACACACACTACCAGGGGGTACCAGGGGCTACCAGGGGGCCTGGTAGCCTGGTGGATAGCGCGCAGGACTCGTAATTCTGTGGCGCGGGTTCGATTCCCGCACCAGGCAGAAACAAATGGGCAAAAGTTTCTTTCACCCTGAATGCCCCTGTTACCTAGCAGTAAATAGGTACCTGGGAGTTAGTCAGCTGTCACGGGCTGCTTCCTAGGGTGTGTGTGTGTGGTGTGGAAAAAAAGAAAAAAAAGAAAAAAAAAGTAGTTAGTAAACAGTTGATTGACAGTTGAGAGGTGGGCCGAAAGAGCAAAGCTCAACCCCCGCAAAACACAACTAAGTGAATACACACACACATACATACATCCTCAAAATGCAGCCCATAACAGCGTACTAACCCCCAGGTACGTATTTACTGCTAGGTGAGCAAGGGCATCAGAGTGATAGAAACTGTCCATTTGTTTCTGCCTCTGCCGGGAATTGAACCCGGGCTGTTGGGACTATGACCCCCAAGTCCTGGTAACTCAGCCGCGAGGCCCCTTGTGTGTGTGTGTGTGTGTGTGTGTGTGTGTGTGTGTGTGTGTGTGTGTGTGTGTGTGTGTGTGTGTGTGTGTTTGTACGGAACACCTGATAATTTATTAATCACAGGTGTGAGCGGAGGGAATACCTGATGATATATTAAACAGGTTCAATGGTTTGTGGCTTGCCTGTTGCATATTTTAAAAGATGCGTTCTCCCTATGTCTACCCGACCCACCTCTTTTGACATACTTCCTATTGTGGCCCATTATTACCTATACGTGGAGGAATGTCAGCTTTAGCAGTGGTGTTAGTAGGGTAAATTTGGACACACTGAAAAGCACAAGTATGTTCAATTATAAATGTCAACACTGCCTGTAGTAGAAAACTATTGGTCTATACCAGAAAGCTATTGGTCTATACCATGATGCTATTGGTCTATACCATGAAGCTATTGGTCTATACCATGAAGCTAATAGTCTATACCATGAAGCTATCGGTCTATACCTGAAAGCTATTGGTCTATACCAGTCAGCTGTTTAACCAATGGAGCTGGTCCAAGAATACCGCCCGTGGTAACGGCAGTGTTTTCAGAATGTAACAAAATATGACTATAAATTATTTGCTAAATTACATTCATTGTTAAAATTATTCTAAATTTAAGAAAAAAAATGCCGCCAAAATTTGGAGGTGAAAGCAGCCCAGACCTGTCAGTGTGGCTTCAGTGTGACCAGTATAATTACAGTACGACCTTCAGTATAATTACAGTATGATCTACGCTGTGACCTACAGTATCATCTACTGTGTGTGTTATACAGTATACCTAAAGTATGAGCTTCAGTATAATTACAGTATGATCTACGCTGTGACCTACAGTATCATCTACTGTGTGTGTTATACAGTATACCTAAAGTATGAGCTTCAGTATAATTACAGTATGAACTACAGTGATCCATATTCTACAAAAATGCATCTTTATGGAAATCAATATATTCTTTGGTTCTTATAATTAGCCAGATAGACACGTTGACAATTGATCACACACAAAGTACCTGTAGTAGGGAGCTTCACAGAGCCTGATATCAAGACAACAAAACGCTGCTGTCCAAATTTAGGACCATCAATTTGGCCCTAAATTTAGTACTTCAAATTTAGGACCATCAACCAGATTGAGGCTTGCAGTACCAAATTAAGGACCTTGGTACCAAATTTTGGATTTTCGTACCAAACAGAGGAGCTTTGTATTATGAAACTTAGACCAAAAATGAGCAAAATGGATTATTTCGCAAAAATTTCCGACTATGTATATAGAGTGAATAGTAAAGTACCGTCATTCCATTACGGGCTCACCATAGCCCGTGCTACTTGGAACTTTTTGTTCCAGGTAGCGAATCTTAAACAACAACAACGTCATTCTATGTAACGTAGGTTTTACCGACACAGAAACTTAAGAAATAAAATGCTGTAAGTTTCTTAGCTTAGTAATTGTACTAATTATGCATTAAACTGTCATAACTAGCTTATCAAGACTGTAACTTGCATATGTAAATAACTTTTGTGGGGTGTTGCGGTATCCATTAAGTAACCTCTGTAACCTTCTGAATGGGGTTGTATAATAAATTAACAACTAAACTATAGACAATCTATAACCCCCGATGTACCGAGATTTCGACGTGTACAGTACAGGTTACAGAGG